GTCATAGCTCACAGCAACCTCCAACTCCTGGGCTCAAGCGAGTCTCCTCCCTCAGCCTCCCAAGTAGCTGGGACCACAGGCGCCTGGCTATTTTTTGGTTGCAGTCGTCATTGTTGTTTGGCAGGCCCAGGCTGGATTCGAGCTCAGGTGTATGTGGCTGTCGCCTTACCCACTTGAGCCACAGATGCCGAGCCTCCTGCATCAAATTTTAATTTTTTTGAGACAGAGTCTCACTCTGTTGCCCCTGACTAGAGTGTGGTGACATCATCATAGCTCACAGCAACTTCAAACTCCTGGGCTGAAACAACTTTCTACCTCAGCTTCCCAAGCAGCTGGGACTACAGGCCTGCACCACCACATTTGGCTAGTTTTTCTATTTTTAGTAGAAATGGCCTCTGGATCTTGCTTAGGCCAGTCTCAAACTCCTGAGCTCAAGCGATTCTTCCTCCTCAGCCTCCTAGAGTTCTGGGATTATAGTTATGAGCCATGGTGTCTGGCCTCCCAACCAAATTATTAAGTGAAACTGCAAAAGGCAGGGTATAGAACATGTATATGCTATCCTGATATTGGAGATATATATTCTTTTCTTTTTTTTTTTCTTGAGACACAGCCTCAAGCTGTGGCCCTGGGTAGAGTGCTCTGGCATCACAGCTCACAGCATCCTCCAACTCTTGGGCTCAAGTCTCCTGCTTTAGCCTCCCAAGTAGCTGGGACCACAGGCGCCCGCCACAATGCCTGGCTATTTTTTGGTTGCAGCTATCATTGTTGTTTGGTGAGCCCAGGCTGGATTTGAACCTGCCAGCTCAGGTGTACGTGGCTGGCACCTTAGCCACTTGAGCCACAGGCGCCGAGCCTGGAGATACATTTTCAAAATCTTTGTTTTACTTCTGGGCCTTTTCATTGGACAGTAAGTATATTTATACTGATTTTTTCATTTCAGTTATATCATCATAGAATTCTTTATTTTTTGAGACAATCTTGCTTTGTCATCCCTGCCAGAGTGAAGTGGTGTCATCATAGCTCACTTTAACCATTTAACTCCTGGCCACTATGCCTGGCCTATTTTTTTCTTTTTTTTAATTTTTAAAAATGGCCCAAAAATGAAATTTAAGATAGGGTGTTCCTCTGTTGGCCAGGCTTGAGTACAGTGGTCTGATCATAGTTCACTGTAGCCTTGAACTCCTGGCCTCATGTGATTCTCCTGTTTCAGCCTCTGGAGTAATTGGGACTATAGGTTTGCACCTTTTTTTTTTTTT